ACTGTTGAAACAGTTAAATTCAACCACCTCTTCTACTGCAACAGCTTCTCCTCTTGCACTTCCCGACAGTGGAATTCCCTTCCTCTTACTTGCTCCCCCGATAGCTACAATCTTCAAAAATTTAAATATAATGTCAATCATTCTTCATTTTATACTTTCCTATACCAAGTCGTTTCACATCAACACTCTCTGTAACCCCTGCTTTCATATATATATATATATATATATATATATATATATATATATATATATATATATATATATTTCATTCAAAATGATAGAGAATTAAGTTTTTTTTATTGCATTTTTTCTCGTGTACGAACAAGAGATTTTGATTTTTCGGGATTGAGTGCTTCCATAAATTGTCCAAATGATTAGTCTCTAAGAGCGATTTCAGCTCATCTTTTAGACACTTTCAAGGATCTTGGTTTCAAGGATCCTGCACACGCACACACTGACACACACACACACTGACACACACACACATATATTCAAGCTTATATATTGTTAAATATAATAGACAACGAATGTCTATTATGTTTGATCATGAGCCGTTCTAAGCCTAATATAGTGGCTTTAGTTTCAGGAGAAAATGAAGAAAATCTGTCCAAAATTTGAATTTTTTTTATAATGCTGGTCCTCGATCTATGCTTTCTCACATGAGCATTCAGAGTGTTTATAAGGATGTTACAGCAGAGATGTTCGCCATCAAAGGTGACACCCTGTTATGTTTAGGGGAAAGGTTTGCCATGCGACGATAATGGTCGCGGAATAGAAGACGCAGGTCGTAAATTCGTAATGCGGTTCTATGACGTCGTACATGACCACGTGAGAGAAAGAAATATTCAACAGAACCATATGTTTAAAGGCATTGTAATATGCTGTGACTGGTTTGAAATGTAATTTTGTTGAGTGTGGCTTGTTTTGTTTTATTATAGACGGCCTCCAGTATTAAAACAAAACAAGAGACACTCAATGTTTTGTTGGGACACTTTTGTGTTTACTTTCACCCGAAACTAAAGCCACTATACGAAGCTTAGAACGGCTCAAGATCAAATATAATATATATCTAATAATGTCTGAATATATGATTGGATAACGATCTGCTGCCACAATCAATATATATATATATATATATATATATATATATATATATATATATATATATATATATATATATATATGTATTGAATAATAAAAATATTAAAAATTAAAAACTTCAGACACACTGGATTGTAGATTAATATTCTTTCGTTTTTTTATTATTATTTCATTTAGATTCCTCGACTAGTTTCAGCCAAAATGGCCATCATCAGGAGAAGAAATATTTCTGCTTGATGGTAGCAGTGATCTACAGAAATGAAGTCTTGATGGAGAAAATGAACTTTTGTCTGTAGTTTTCATTTGTTTTTTTATTTTTTTTTATCTTTTTGACATGAATCTTTTAACATTCCTTGTGTTGGTCAAACAGTCTCTTTTATGTTGTTATTTGAGATAAGAGCTGGATGGATCTATGCTGCTCTGAATTCCCCTGGTCAGTTTGACAGTTTTATTGGTCCTGGAGAGGGGATGTGTCTCTGTTAAGTATTTGTGTGTGTGTTATTTGTTTCTTAGGGAGTGAGTGAGTATGATATGTGTAAGCGTGTGTATTGCTGTGGTTGTGTGTTATTATTTGGCTCATTAGGGAGTGAGTGAATATGATGTGTGTAAGTGTGTATGTTCGCGTGGGTGGGTGTATAAGTGTGAGGCCTCAAAACCTCCGTAAGCATGTCTGTCTTGTGTGGGTAGGTTTTGATTTGTAGTGATATATTAGTACTATCTATATTGTTAAATTTGTGGTTTAGCCCGGCTGGATAGTGTGTTTTTAGATGTTGTATCCAATTATTTTCATGGAACTCTAAAATCTTTCTAATGTAATCTGCTCTGAACTTATCTATCTATCTATCTATCTATCTATCTATCTATCTATCTATCTATGTGTGTATATGTGTGTGAGTGTGTGTGTGTAGTCATCCACAGACAGGCTGTTTCGCTGTTTCACAGCTCATCAGTGTGACTAGATATCCGATCGCTTCAGGCCGATTTGATATCAGTCGGAGATTCTAACCCCTAGGACATTGTCGCCCGGAATGACGAATTTTTCCGTATTTAGATTTTCATAAACACACCAGTCACCCAGAGAACACAATCCTTGCTGGGAGAGTCTTGCATTATCAGCAGTAATAGTGACTGTTTACTAATTCATTCCTTGCTCCCCACAGTGCTCGACCGATTAAATTATTTTATCGAGAACTGTATCTATGTATATAGCCTTCTTATTCCGATCTTGTGTTCTAACCCTGTTTCTTTTCTTGTATCCCAGTCTATCTATCTATCTATCTATCTATCTATCTATCTATCTATCTATCTATCCCAGTCTATTCATATCTATCTATCTATCTATCTATCTATCTATCTATCTTGCGTATTGCTTATTAACTGTATCTCTGCTGCTTGTCTTTTTTCCCCCAAATTCCCTTTTCTTTCTCTGGTTTCGACACCGCATCCCCTCTTTTTGCTACGTTTCATTTCCTTCATTTTTTTAATCGTCGTTCTCGCCCAACTGACTTGCAGAGCCACCCAGATTAGAACACATCCACAGGAAAACCCTCAAGTGCCACGCCATACATTGGCACAAATCCTCTCTATTTGCACACACGCGCGCGGACACCCATACACGCACAAATATCTGTTCAAACATACACACGCAAAGGAAAGTAAACAATAAAACAAATACGGCCAAACATGCACGCATGCAACTTCACCCATGCACACATAACGTACCCCCAAAACGCACACAGACACGCATACATAATTATAAACGAACACAGATACACTTACCGAATTCTATCAATTATTTTTTTTTCTTTTATCATCCTTTACTTTTCCGTCCAGTTTTCAATATTTTATTTTCCCGATCGGAGATTTTACATCCTCCCCAAACGTGCGGAATGGTAATAAACAATGTCGCAAAGAAAAGTGTACAGGGAGTCATTTGTCAGGTTTCGAAGCCGTACAAGTCCCCTTTACAAGAACACTTTTATTATGACAAGTGGATGTAGTCGGCGC